ACAAACACATATGATAAGTTTTTGAATCCTTTACATTTTAATCTAGTGAGCCTTCTTCTCAATGACAGATAGTAATATATTATTTATTGATTGTGTTCTTTTAACTTCAGCAGGTTCAATGTGTGACATGGTAGTTTAATTACTTCCCTTAGGTCTGCTTTGTTGCCATATTGTTTGCCACCTTCATATAATTTCATCTTCACATTTAACGATGGATTTTCGATCGAATTCAGATCAGGACTTGATGGTGGATATTCCATTATCTTCTCTTCTGTAAACTTTTTATGCTAAAAAATTCACGGGTAAGCTTAGATACGCGAGAAGGAGGATTATTTTGCATAAATAGACACTTCGCTTTGAAACTGCAAGACTGGGACTTGTACCATGCAAAGAAAATCTTGTTCATAAAGTAGCAATATCTAACACTATTCAGTTTAACTACTTCATCGACTTTGAATGGTCCAGTAATGATTTGGTCGACAATTCAAGCCCATATAATAACATTACCACCTCCTTGCTGACTTCTTTTAGTCACAATCACGTCTGAATTGGATAAAATCTATCCTTTGGCAGATCGATCAGGTCCATCATATGTCAGTCGTGATTCATCTGCGAGGATTAGCTTAGAAAAATCAATTTTCATGTATTTCTTGGCCTGATTTTGACGCTTTAAAATATTTGCTTTCGTGAGAAGAGGTTGCCTAGGAGTTTCAAAAAGTTATCTATTTGTCCTCCTTGACTCCCTCAATGCCAACCTTTTCAAGATTTGAGCGATGGTCAAAAGTGGTTATCTCGCTATAACTCACTTTAGTTTACGCCCATCTTGAGGAAGCAAGTTCATGAAGCCTTTTCCTTTGCTTCAAGTTCTCAACTTAGTTATTTTTTTAAGCATATCACCCCAAGCAAGGCGTGAATGTAACTATCACAGAAGGGGTTACAGAAATTAAGAACAGGAGTAAAAAGGGTGTTTGACGAAAAGATACGGTAATTGACGGGGATCAGGATCAAGGCATTTGAATATGTCGATTGACATTACATTTGAATATTTGAAGATTATAGCTATCAGTGAAGCAAGTAAGAGGAAGGGAGTTCCACTGATGGGAAGTGCGAGATAAGAAGCTGTTGGAGTGGAAGAGACGGCTATGTTTCACCGTTTCAAAAACGAAAAAGTGGGACCGAGATGCCAACCTAGTAGCACGATTAAATTCATGCAGTTGGGGTACCAGTGAATGTTGCTAGTCAGAACAGTTGCCATGAAAATATTTGTAGAAAAGACAGAGGGAAGTCACATCACGTCTGTGAGAGAGTGGCTGCAGACGAGATGCCAGGTTAGGACCTATCACATTGCATATCCGTCTCTGGATTCTGTCGAGGACCTCGAGATAAACAACGGGGGCACCAGACCATATATAGTAGCAGTATTTTCAACAGTCTTCTTTATCGTTCGATTAGCTGTGCTAAGCTACTTCAATGCGAACATAATGTGGACTCAATAACTTTTTTTTTTGTTTTTTAATTCCAGTTGTCGTTAGATCCTTCCCTTTACCCATGTTTCAACATATATTATGGATAAAAAGAAAAAAAAAAGTTTTGATGGGGTTTCAGAGGTCTTAAGCTAATATTAGTTTGATCTGCATACTAACTTCAATCAGTCCGTTTTGTTAAATTCCAAATATCTAACAAACTAACCAGTAAAAATTTCAGAAAAAAATACTAAATAGTCTATTAAGAGTGAAAACAGACGAGTTTAAATTTGACAAATATTGGTTCAGAAATTTTTAAGTTAGGGAGGTTTATTTGATTTGCATAATAACCTCAACCAGGCGGTAGTCATCGCTATTATTTACTCATAATGTCGTGTATGGTCACCCATACTTTGAAAATGGACCCGTTTATGCACATAAAAACAAATTTAAAATTATTCTAAAAATCTTGGTGCATGATGATTTGTAATAAGCTTTTCAATATTTGATTAGTAAATATAGTTTTCACTTAGTAACAATGTCAACTAACTCAATGAAAATAAAGCAGAATTTTAAAAGATTTTAAAATAATATTATAATAAAAATATTATAATAAATTAATATAATTAAAATTAAAATTAAAAAATAATTAGTAAAATTAATAATTAATAAAATGGAAACAATAAAATTTAATAATAAAAAAATTAAAACAATCCGTAAAATACATTATTCAACGAAAAAAACTTTTTTAAAACAAGTGCCCTTAAATCTTATTTTGAAAGCAGTTAAAAGCTTTTCTAATTAAATAATGTCATAGTTTTATTGATTTTTTTTATTTTACTATTCAGAGCATACATTCGGGAAGTAGCAGTTTGACAACAAAAATTGATGATTTACATTCTCCATGGAGTTCTGTTTTTAATTAATAAAACAAATTTAGTAATTAAAATTTAATTTATTTAAATGCCATGGTATTAAGTGGATGGGGTAAAATATGTAAAACGTATTTTATCAATATTATGTAAAATAATGCATTTGAAAAATGAATTAATTTATAAAGAAGTGCTGAAAGTTTAATTATAATGAGACAATTATTTGATTTTTGCAAGAATTTCCAAATCAATGTGTTTTTTACCGTAAAAAGGCGCTAAAACACACGCATTCATGTTTGGTCTACCGCTGGCGAAAAAAAAACAAAACAAAAACAAAAAAAAAAAAACACCAAAAAAAAAAACAAAAAACAAAACAAAAACAAAACAAACAAAACAAAAAAAAGAAAGATTTTTAACCAAAATTCCGAATGTGCTACAGAGGATTAAAAAAACCAAAAAAAAAAAAAACCCAAAGAAAACAATTATTAAAAATAATTTGCTTTTTCCTCTTAATAATAACATAAACATTTTACACGATAAAACTTTATTTTTATTAAGTTTGAGAGGCTTCTTCATCATCCTATGCTATTTTTTCAGCGAATTAATGGAAGTACCTAATTTTAATACTTCTCAAATATAGCATAGTGCTCTGAAAAACAAAATGCATGAAGTATCTTACCTTCTTTGGACTTTGTATTGTTATTAAGGCACATAATGCTAACATAATCTTTGAAAGGGTCTCCAGTACACTCGCTGTTTTCTTCGTACGGACAGTCTAAGATGGTCGTTTCGTTACCCACGCACTGGATGTTGGGACGTGTGTAATAGGGACCGTGATCCTCGAGAAAGCCGTACGTCTGGTGGGGAAACAGAATTCCTCTCTTATATCCGAGCTCTCGGCAAACCACTTGAGCGTCGACGACGTTGAAGCCGAGAGGACACGCCATATCCCAAGTATTTTCAGCATTGAATTCAAGAACGCCATGATTGTGGATACGATAGCCACTGTTCATAATCCTCACTGGAAAATAAAATAAAGAAAAACAAGCATGTTAATAACTTATTAGATTATTACAAATCTTACTTCGGTTTGTCACGTAAAGTAAAAGACTGTCTATATCTCTGAGATGAGGTATTATGTTTACTTGCATTAGTTATATTATTAGGACTTTTATCCTCATCTTCATTGCCATATTCACAACGTTTCGGCCTCTATATCTCTGAGATGAGGTATTATAATTACTTGCATTATTTACGTTATCTGGACTGTTATCTTCATCTTCATTGCCATATTCACAACGTTTCGGCCTCTATATCTCTGAGATGAGGTATTATAATTACTTGCATTATTTACGTTATCTGGACTGTTATCTTCATCTTCATTGCCATATTCAAATAAATGAGGAGTAATGGATAGCGGCTCGGATTGAGGAATCAGAGAGCCGAGTTCGAATTCCAGTCGAATACCCTTGATAAAGGTATGAATCCTCTTCTTCTCCCCCATCTATGGGTAAATAGCAGGACAGAGCAGGTTCTATAACCTTGGATGGCAACTGGTCTACCGCAGAAAGAAATCTGCCTCGTCAGGCATGTATCGAAAGATACATGATCGCCTAAGCGTGTATCACGCATGGCGCATAACTGACTGACTCTTGGGGAAGGTATGAATTCTCTCCCCCACCAGCTATGGATAAATAACAGGACAGACTGGGCTCTATAGCCTTGGATGGCAACTGGTCTACCGCAGAAAGAAATGGCAACCTACTGCGGGAAAAAAATCTGCCTCGTCAATCATTTATTGAAAGATACACGAATAGCACATAACTGTATCAAATCAGCAACGTGCTGGGTGGGAGAGAAATTGAAGGGAATTATTTAAATGTGCCGCCACTTTTAATTGATACACAAAACAACGCTTTACTGACTGACAATGTTTATACATTATCAATTAAACAACAACTTTCGATATCCACTGAAAATCTACAGCTTTCTGCCTTTTGGATGGGTTTGAACACAGATACTCGGTACATGCTTGGAAAAGAGAAGAATTTCATTTTTGAAAGTAAAAGCTCAGGATATAAAGAGAGTAATCACCTCTTTGCAAATTGTCATTTGATTCAATTTTATCCGATCTGCCAGGCTCAATCAAAATAGAATAAAAAAAAAAAACAATTCCATGATGTAAATAAGAGCCGGGGGGGGGGACCTCTTCCTTTGATCCCGAGCGATTCTTTGATCAGGTTCCTTCGAGACAAATATCCAATAAAAATGTGAAACGTAAAGCAAAATG